ATGCTGGTGAGAAGGCAGTTCTTCTTGCACTGCTGGTAGAAATGCAAACTGGTGCAGCCACTCTGGAAAACAATATGGAAGTTCCTCAAAAAGTTAAAAATAGAAGTACCGTATTATTCAGCAATTGCACTACTAGGTAGTTACCCAAAGGAGACAAAAATACTGACTCACAGGGGCACATGCACCTTGATGTTTATAACAGCATTTTCAATACTAGCCAAATTATGGAAAAAGCCCAGATGTCCATCAACTGATATATAGAAGAGAATATTACTCAGCCATTAAAAAAATGAAATTTTGCCATTTGCAATGATGTGGATGGAGCTAAAGAGTATTATGCTAAGTAAAATAAGCCAGTCAGACAAAATAAATATCATATGATTTCACTCATATGTGGAACTTAAGAACACAAACAAAGGAGAAAAGGGGAATAAAAGAGAGAGGTAAAACAAAAAACAGACTCTTTTTTAATGTTTATTTATTTTGAGAGAGAGAGTGCACGTGTGCATAGGGGAGGAGCAGAGAGAGAGGAAAAGAGAGAATCCCAAACAGGCTCCGTGCTCAGCACAGAGGCCAATGTGTGGCTCAATTTCACAACTGTGAGATCATGACCTGAGCTGAAATCAAGAATCAAACTCTTAACCAACTGAGCCATGCAGCCGCTTAAAACAGACCCTTAACTATAAAAAATAAACTAAAGGTTACTGGAGGGGAGGGTTACTGAGGAGGTGATTGGGGAATGGTTTACATGGTTGATGGGTATTAAGGAGGGCACTGAGTATTGTATGTAATGAATCACTAAATTCTACACCTGAAACTAGCATTACACTGTATGTTAACCAGCTAGAATTTAAATTACACCTTAAAAAGAAAATAAACAAACTGTGGCTCACAATAGAAATCTCAAGGAAAATTTAAATATATTTTTATTAGAATGAAAAGGAAAACATAAAATATCTAAATTTGTCAAATGCAGATCAAGGCTTGCTTGCTTACTTACAGGAAAATTTATACCACAAAATATTTATATTGGAAAAGGAAAAAGTTCTTGAAAAAATTCTTGAATCAATTATTTAAGCATCAACCTTAGAAGTTATGAAAAAGAGCAAATTAAACCCAGATCTATACACAGAAACAATAAAGAGCAATAATTAATGAAATAGAAAAAGAAAAAAATAAGGAGAAAATAAAATCAAAAGTTCATTGTTTGAAAAATTCAACAAAACTGATAAACTTCTCACCAAACTGCTCAGGAAAAAAGAAGAGAAAAATGTCCCAATATCAAGAATGAAAATTATCAATATCAACATCACTGCAGATCCTACAGGCTTTAGAAGAATAGGGAATATTATGGACAACTTTATGCCAGTAAACTCAGCCACTTAGATGAAATAGACAAAATGTTTGAAAGAAAGACAAACCAAGAAACAGACTCTTAACTATAGATAACAACCAAGTAGTTACCAGAGGGGTGGGGGTTGGGGAGTAGAGTGGGTGAAATAGACAATGGGGATTAAAGAATACACAGAGTAATATATTAAATTATTGAATGACTATATTGTACACCTGAAAGTAATTAAGCACTGTATTAACTGCAATTAAAATTAAAAATTCAATATAAAAAATGTCTGAGGGGCATCTGGGTGGCTCAGTCAGTTGGGTGCTTTGACTCTTGATCTCAGCTCAAGTCATGGTCTCATAGTTTGTGAGTTCAAGCCTCTCCTGGGGCTCTGTGCTGACAATATGGAACCTGCTTAAGATTGTCTCTCTCCCTCTCTCTCTCTGTCCCTCCCCCACTCACAGGCCCATTCTCTCTCTCTTTCTCTCTCTCTCTCTCTCTCTCAAAATAAACATATAAACTTAAAAAATGTTTGAAAGATTCAAAACTACCAAGACTCACTCAAGAAGAAATAAATAATCTGAGTGACCTATTTCCTAAAGAAATTGAATTTGCAGTAAAGAAAAAAAGAAACTCTTACAAAAAAGACTCGAGGCCCCAGTGGTATCACTGTTAAACTCCACCAAATATTTAATGAAGAAATAATGCCACAAATTTGCTACACAGGCTTCTCAGAAAATGGAAAAGGAAACATGGCCCAATCCATTTTATGGGACTAGCATTACTTTAAAACCAAAGACATTGTTTTTAAAATAACAGACTCCCATGAACACAGAGGCAGAATATTAATAAAATACTATCAGAGCAAATACAGAAGTATATGAAAGCAAATATATCATGATCAAATGGTTTTATCCCCCAAATCAAAGATGATTTAATAATCAATATCATACACCATATCAAAAACTAGAAAAGGAAAATCATTTTAATCCTCACAATAGATGCAGAAAAATAATTTGACAGAATGCAACACATTTTCTTAATGAAAACTCAGCAAACCACGTGACCTAAATGGTAAAGAGGTTTAACACTATTAACCTTGACGCTTATTAATAAAGGAAAGTTTACATATATATTTATTTGAATGAAAATGAAAACATTTAGTTCAGTGTCTAAATCTTTAAACAGAGCTGTCTGGGTGGCTCAGTCAGTTAGGCGTCCGACTTCGGCTCAGGTCATGATCTCACGGCTCGTGGGTTCGAGCTCTGCGTCGGGCTCTGTGCTGACTGCCAGCTCAGAGCCTGGAGCTTGTTTCAGATTCTGTGTCTCCCTCTCTTTCTGACCCTCCCCTGCTCACGCTGTCTCTCTCTCTCTCTCTCTCTCTCTCTCTCAGAAAGAAATAAAACATTAAAAATTTAAAAATAAATAAATAAATCTTTAAACAAAACCCTCTCCCCATCCAAAAATATGGATACTCTTTGCCCAGTAATTACATATCTAAGATTTTATTCTAAGAAAATTATTTTTTAAAACAAGTGTACAGGGGTGCCTGGGTGGCTCAGTTGGCTAAGCGTCTGACTTCATCTCAGGTCACAATCTGACAATTTGTGAGGTTGAGCCCCATATTGGGCTCTGTGCTGGCAGCTTGGAGCCTGGAGTCTGCTTTGGATCCTGTGTCTTCCTCTCCCTCTGCCCCTCCCTTGCTCACACTCTGTCTCTCTCTTGTCAAAAATAAATAAACATTAAAAACAAAAGAAGTTCACAAAGATGTATTATACCATGCTTTCTATTAGCAAAATTTGATGACTAATTATATATATGTCAGAGGAAGACTGGTTAAAAAAATATAGTGCAAACTTCTAGATATAAATTAATAATTTCTGGGGATGTAATGCAAAGCATGGTTACTATAGTTAATAATACTGTTTTTGCATATTTAAAAATTGCTAAGAGAATAAATCTTAAAAGTTTTCATCATAAGAAAATAAATTTGGAAATATGTGTGGTGATGGATGTTAAGTAGACTTGTGGTGATCATTTTGCAATATATACAAATATTGAATCTTCATGTTGTACACTGAAACTAATAAAATGCTATGTGGAATTATGTCTCAATATTTAAAAGAATAAAAAATTTCAATTAATGAAAGCAGGAATTACAAAAGAGAGCCAACATATCTTTCCTCAAGTTTGAGAGAATCTGATCTGGAAGATGAGGTTCACTGGCAAATCTGTGCGGGGAAGAGGGTAAAGATTTGTCAGAAACATTAATTTAGGAGCACCTGGGTGGCTCAGTCAGTTGGGCATCTGGCTTCTGTTCAGGTCATGATCTCACAGTTTGTGAGTTTGAGCTCTGCATCAAGCTCTGTGCTGACAACTCGGAGCCTGGAGCCTGCTTCAGATTCTGTCTCCCTCTCTCTCTGCCCTTCTCCGGCTTACACTCTGTGTCTCTCGCTCTCAAAAATAAATAAAACATTGAAAAAAGAAAAAATGAAACATTAATTTTAGCCTTGAGCATGATTCTTCCCATCTTTTACTAATAATCTGTTACTGCTAATGATCATTTTGGTGCTCATGAATAGCAGGCTAGTTTCATAACAAGGTACCTAACCTACATGTGAATGATAATGTCTCCACTCAATACCTGCTCCTATTTATTTGGTAACTTAGAAAAAAATAGTGAGATGCTCTTTGAATAGTTATTTATACCACTTCAAAATAGCATATTTATTTTTAAATAGTTATATACATTTTATCACATGGAAAATATAATACATTTCTTCATTATAGACAATTCATTAATACATCTCTTCATCTGTAGACAGCTTTGTAATAAATTTTCTTTGGTAATGTCTACACTTTGCATTTGCTATTTATTTAGTTATAAATCTGATATGTATAATATAGAAATCTTTTGCATTTTATTTACTTATTCATAAACCAATACCATCCATCTTTAACTCCAAACTATTCAACTCATTTATAATCTTTTTAGTATTCACATAGCTTTCTTTACCATATAAAAACTGTTTAGGAAATAATTAGGGTAAAATACAATTATGATACACACTGAGTGGTGTAGGAATTTACATCTCTGGTCTCAAAGCATTTGGTTAAATAATAATATTAAAGTTTCCTGAGTTGTCATTCTATGATTTTTCCCAAATTTCACCTTCTAAACAGCACTAAATCTAAAAACCTTATTATTAACTAAATCTGAGTGTGTATAGTCAAATCCAGATGTTAGAAGCCTCCAATTCTGAAAGCTACATAGGCACTTGTCTTCATTTTGCTTATTCTTCCAAGTATATAGACACAAGAAATTCAGAGGGATGAATATCAGTACACAAGCATATTAGTAGAGACGTCTTTGAGAATCATTATCAAAGAGGAGTATCCAACATTTTGTTTTAATGGAAAAATGTGCCCAGTATGTGAGCTTTCATATTCTTCTATAACAAACAAGAAAGACACTACATTCCAAGGCTGAATTAATTCTTCCTCAGTACTTTCAGGATCCACAGGGTAAGGGTCCCTATAAAAAACTGACCAGATCAGAAGAGAGTCCTGAGAAGGATTTTCACAATAGATATTGAAATTACTTATTAAACTGAAAAGATTTATGAAAAGTTTAACTGAAGAGATTAATTTTCAAAAATAATCAAGATGAATCTGAATGTCTTTGATCATTCATGAAAGAACTCTTCCGGAAATGTAAAACCTTACCAAACAGTCTCCTTATTGCCACTTTCATCTCATTATTTCTGAATGTATAGATAATAGGATTCATAAAAGGAGTGATAAGGGCATCAAAGATGGCTAAAAATTTATCTATGGGTAAGGTAGGGAATGGCCACACATAGACAATAATGCAAGGACCAAAGAAAAAGACCACCACAGTGATGTGAGCAGAGAGAGTGGAGAGGGCCTTGGATGAACCACGTGAAGAGTGTTTGCGAACCGTGACCAGGATGAAGATGTAAGACACAATCAAGATGAAGAAGGTGCCCATGGAGATGAAACCACTGTTGGCAGTGACCAGAAACTCCAGTCTATATGTGTCTGTACATGCAAGTTTGATGAATCGAGGAAAATCACAGTAAAAGCTATCCATTTTGTTGGGACCACAAAAGGGCAAGTTTATAACAAAAGCCAGTTGAGCCACAGAGTGGATGAGTCCAATGGTCCAAGCAACAGCCAAAAGGGAAATGCACATTCTTAGGCTCATGACAGTCAGGTAGTGGAGGGGCTTACAGATAGCAATGTATCGGTCGTAGGCCATAACTATGAGCAGTACCATCTCTGTACCCCCAACAGTGTGAATAAAGAACATTTGAGTAATGCACCCTGCCAAAGAGATGACTTTGTGTTTTCTGAAAAGGTCATATATCATCTTTGGGCTTGCAATGCTGGAAACGCCTGTGTCAATGATGGAAAGGTTTGCCAGCAAAAAGTACATGGGGGAATGTAAGTGATGGTCTGAAATGATTGTGAGCACAATGAGAAGGTTTCCTAACATACTTGCTATATAAAATACAGTAAAAAACAAAAAAAGAAGAATCTGCATCTCCCAAGAACTGGTGAGTCCCAGCAACAGAAATTCAGACACCACTGAGTGATTTCCTCTATCCATCAACTTCATGTGCTAGACTGATCCTGAAGTTACCTAAGGAGCATAAGAGGGAGAAAAACATAATTTTTAAGTTGAAAGGGAATCCTGACTATAGGGTTACACAGATGTCGAAAACTAAAGATCACTTAGCCATTGTACACAGTTACATAGGATTTACATGGTACAAGAATTACAGAGAGCAAACATTAGAATTTTTTCCATGCCTAAACCTTTGGTATCATTTAATCATGTGACTCAAAATTAGTTTTTGGTCTTTAGTGTATAATGAAGAAGGGAAATGTAGATAAAGTAAGTCACCTAAGAATTTAAGGAGAAATACATCAGGAATAGACTTATATTTTCCATTTCTACACTGAAATATGCCACAGAATAGAAACGTGGAAAAAGAACTATCTGGAGAAGTGTTCTAATTTATTCTTTTTTTTAATTAAGCTTATGTATTTATCTAGAGAGAGAAAGAGATAGAAAGAGAGAGCACATGATCAGGGGAGGGACTAAGAGAAAGGAAGAGAGAGAGAATCCCAAACAGGCTCTGTGCTGTCAGCAGAGAGCCCAACACAACGCTTGACCTCACAATCGTGTGATCATGACCTGAGCCCAAATCAAGAGCTGGACACTTAACTGGCTGAGCTACCCAGGCTCCCCTCTAATTTATTCTTTTTAATGGCTGCCCAATATTCACAATGTGGATGATCATAATCTATTTACTAATTTCCCAATTAATAAGCATTTACCTTGTTTCTAGTTTTTTGTCCCCTACAGACAATGCTACATATTATTATCCTTATATATACATCCTATGTATTAATGCTTTTCTGTGTCATGGATTCCCAGAAATGAGATCACTGGGTCAAAGTGTACATATTTTTAATGTCAGTAGTGTTGCCCAATAGCTCTCCAAAAAAGCTGGAACAACACATATTTCTACAAAAATAAATGCTACCACTTTTTTAAATTGTTGCCGGAATAGTGATAGCTCACTGTTACTGTAAATTTTTCTTCTTAATATTTGAGAGAGAGAGAAAGACAGAGTGAGTGCAAATAGGGGAGGGTCAGAAAGAGGGAGAGAGAGAGAATTCCAAGCAGGCTCCACACTCTCAGCACAGAGCCCAAGGCTTGAACTCATGAACAATGAGATCACAACTTGAGCTGAAATCAAGAGTTGGACACTTAACCAGCTGAGCCACCCAGGTAGCCCTGTTACTCTAATTTTCATTTCCCTGACAACCAATAAATTTGAACATTCTTGTATTTTGGATCTGCTCTTCTGTGAATTGTCTATTCATGCCTTTTCCTATTTCCTACTGTACTTTTTTTCCCCTTGCCAGTTTGTAAGAGCTCTTTTTATATTACAGATATTAAGCATTTGTCATTTGTTTTATGCTTTCTAAATCAATTATCCATTAATTTTATTTATGGTTTCTTTTGTTATACCCAAGTTTTTAATTGTTTTAAATGATTAAATATAGCTATTACTTTTTTATAGCTACTATTTTTAAGATCTCCCTTGCTCCTGGATCATACATGTACATTCTCAGATTTTCTTTCAATACTTGTTTTGTTTTGTTTTCTATTTGGGACTGTGCTGTATTATTTTTTTATATGTTTTAAAATATAGGTCCACCTTTAATTTCTTCCAGGTGAACAGAATTGTAATGGCACTGTGTGTTAAATGACCCATTCTTTCCCCTTTGAATTTAACTACCATTTTTACATTACGCTAAATTCTCAGATATTTTGGGATCTGTTTCTGAATTCTTCTGATATATTTGTTTCTGTAGAATATGTATTTCAAAGTAGCTTAATACCATGTCACTATATCTGATAAATCAAGTCCCTCCTTCACTGTCCTTATTTTTCATACTTTATTGGCTATTCGTAAGTATATATTATAGCATATACATTTTAAATTCATTTTATCCAATCTCCCCAAAAATTCCATTTGAACTTCCGATTTGCAGTAAATTTATATATTAACTTTGAATAAAGTAGTATGGTTATGATGGTGTCTTCCCATTCAAGAACATTGTACATCCATCTATTTGTTCAAACTTTGCTTCATGTCCTTCAACAGGATTTTGCCATTTTTTAAATATACATCCCATGATTTCTTGGTTAAAATTATTCCTATGTATTTTATAGCTTTTTTTCTTAACATTATGAATGAAATATCTTTTATCACTTCCATTTCTAGATTATTTTTGCTAGAATGGAGAAAAGTTACATCTTTTTATCTATTGCATGTAGTCGCTTTATGTATTATTGGGTGAATAGTTTTTTACTGAAATATCTTGGGTTTTCTAGGTTGCCAATAAGTTCATCAACAATAAAAGACAACTTTTTCATATTTAATTTTTGCTGGTTTGGTTAAGATAGTATTCATCAGCCCCTTATTAACATGGAAGTCCTATTATACTTTCCTATTTTTTTCATATTTATTGTCCCTTATCTAGTGATACATTTCTGCATTTTTTAAATTTTACTTATTTATTTAAAGAGAGAGAGAGAGAGAAAGCACAAGCACGGGAACAGCAGAGAGAGAAAGAGAGAGAGAGAATCCCAAGAAAGCTCCACACTATCCTCACAGAGCCCGATGCTCGAACTCACCAAATGTGAGATCATGACCTGAATTGAAACCAAGAGTTGGACACTTGACCAACTGAGCTACCCAGGTACCCCACATGTCTCTATTCTTATTTGTCTTTTAATTTTTAATGTTTATTTATTTTTGAGAGACAGAGTGAGAGAGAGCTCAAGTCGGGGAAGAGCAGAGAGAAAGGGAAACACAGAATCTGAAGCAGACTCTAGGCTCTGAGCTTTCAGCACAGAGTCCAATGTGGGTCTTGAACACACAGACCATGAGATCATGGGCTAAGCTGAAGTCGGACACTTAACCGACTGAGCCACCCAGGTGCCCCTCTATTCTTATTTTAAAATAAGATGCCAATTATTTTCCCCTGCCAATATGTTCTTTTTCCTCGCTGCCTTCCTCTATCACCAACTAAGATAAGACTTTAAAGTACTTTTCTCTCCATCATCTCACCTCCTTCCCCCCCACCCCCCATTTAAATTAAATCAGTTCCTTTTTTCTTTCTGGAACTTCTAATTGTTTTCTATATTATGCTTCCTGAGTCTATCCTCCCTATTTTGTTTCCTTTCATGATTTCTATCTCATTATCTTTATCGTATGTGCTACAAGATATACATTGCACCTAAACTTCTAGCCTCAAATTTAGATTTCAAGAATAATCATCCTTTGTTTAAATTCATATGAATTGTTCAGTTCTAAAGGGTCTTGTTTATATTGCTCATGAATCCCTTTGCATGCTGACATAACTTTTTATTGAAATTAGCACCTGCTTCTTCCAGCAGCCTTGTGTCCCAACATCAGCCTAACAGCACTTATACTTAATATATGCTTTATACATATGAATTCTAATCTCTGAGATGAAATTTCAGAAATGACTTATATCAGTCTATCTGATTTCAAGATTTATTCAATATATGCAGTCCAATCTGATACTGGCTTTACATCTCTAATCTCTCAGGGATGTAAATGCCAGCTAATACATAGTATTAGAATCCTTGTTAAGTATTGTTCGAATAATAATTTGACAATAGAAAAGTGCCTAAAAATCTGAAATAAGTAAATACCATTGCATTAATATAGTTTGAAGTAAACTATAGCTCTTAATTACAATATTCTTATGTATTACTTTATGATAAAGTGATAAAGAAAAGCTAACTTGAGAGTTTGCTTTTTTTTTAATGCTCCAAAGTAAGAATTAATCTCATGCCAAATATTTTCTGTCACAGTGATGGGTGATCTTGAAGACAAGTGAAATTTTCCCTACAAGATAACACAGAACTAGAATTTAAAATAAAAATCCAATCCTATTAATCTTTCCAAATTTGGGAAATATGTAGTTTATTTAAATGGATTCATTCATTTTCTTTCTATGCTTATTGTTCTGGAGGCATAGATGTAAAATATTGGTTAGAAGTAAAGAATCACAAACACTACTGCTGGGTTTAAACTTGCCTTAACCATTTGCCCTACTACTAACCCTTGAACTAGGGCTTCAACTACCTCCATTTTGACCCCAAACTTTCTAATTGAGTAAGTTCTTTCCATTTTATCAGTTAACTCAGGCAAAAGACCCTGAGGGCAAAGCATTCCGGAACCAAAACTACCCCCTCAAGCAACAGGGACTGCCCTTAGCCAGCATGACCACTCGTGATTGACCCCAAGACAATGACCAACCTGATAATTACTGCCTCCTGCACTACCCACCCACCTTTGTCCCACACTTCCCTTATAAAAACTTGGAACTATTTATTGTCAGCACTTTGGAGACAGTCTTTGAGACTTCTGTCTTCTGGTGTTGGTCATGCTGAAATAAATCCCTTTCTTGTTTCACCACCATCTCTCTGCCTTTGGATTTTGTCAGCTGTGAGTGGCCGAATCTGGTCTGAACAAGACCTCTGGAGCCAGATGCATCCCAGGGTCCCAGTTAACACCCTGACCTCAGAAACGTCACTTAATTTTATTGTATCTAAATGTATTCATCTGTTAAATTGGAGTAATAATAGTCTGGCCTCAAAAAATTGCTATGAATAAAGAGCTTAGAACAGTATTGGACAGGGGCGCCGGGGTGGCTCAGTCGGTTGAGCGTCCGACTTCGGCTCAGGTCATGATCTCATGGTTCTGGGTTGGAGCCCCGCGTCGGACTCTGTGCTGACAGCGAGCTCAGAGCCTGGAGGCTGTTTCGGATTCTGTGTCCCCCTCTCTCTCTGACCCTCGCCTGCTCATGCTGTCTTTCTCTCAGAAATAAATAAAACATTAAAAAAATTAGAGAGAAAAGCAAACAGTATGGGACACATAGCAAGAATTCAATAACTGTTAGCTATAATGATGTTATTATAAACATACTCCTTAGTTCACTAAACTCTCCTGGTAGTCTTAATCTTCAGACTCCTCTTTTTGTCATTCCTTCATT